TTAAAAAAAACAATTTGGTACCATAAGTTTGCATTATTTTTAGATGGAACACCTACATGCATCTATCTTTAAGATGGACGCTTTACACTTTCTAGACTGCATATGTAGAAATGCGGTCGCATATGCAGAAATTCGGTCCAGCTTGCATGAAACCATTTTCCTTTACAGAAAGGGTAAGTGTTTAGTATGTCCTCCACCTTCCCAAATTCATCTCAATATTTTTAGACCCAAAACTTTAAAGAAAACTTTAAAGCTCTATCATCTCGAACGCTACCATCCTCAATCTGAAATACATAAATAAATATTGAGCCTAAGAGGTGATCCATCATGTACATTATTTTAGACCATTAATTTCAATTCTTCATTAAATCTATAAAAAACTTTGGAGCTCCAGATTCATAAATCTGAGCACAAAATGGGTTTGCAATGAGTTAGGATATTTTTCAAATCCTAAAACTCTTAAAACAAGGCCGGACACAACACAAGTCAACAGACTCACCAAAAATGTTTACTTCCCCCAAAGCAATTAATCATTCTTCCATCACTCTTGGGACATGGTTAGGAGCACAGCTAGTGAAATGAATGATGTTGGAATTTCAGGTGCAAGAAGACTCCAGTATGGTGCAGCAGCTGAAAGCCTTGTTCATGGATGACCAAGGCCAACTCCAACCTCAAAAGCCAGTCCACTCTGAACACTCCACCTCCAAGCCTGCCACTTCAACAGACAGCTTTCCTTACCACCGTGATCATCATCGCCCACATCGTCAACATCATCATCAACAACATCAGCACCATCAACAACCACATGACCAGCAGCAGGAGCAGCCCCCACTCCCATGGCAGGCAGTGGAGATAGAAGAGGAGGGGGATGGGGAATCAGAGTCGGAGAGTGAAAGGGAGATGCAGACCAAGGATATTCAGGTCGGTTTGTCACCAGAAGGCTGCTCCGATCCTAACCCCATCAACATGACTGCTCACACCTCATTAACCAACCCACCTTGCCAAGAACAGCACTTGCCAATGCCCACCAACAATCTCTTACTCGACGACACCAATCCATGGCCACTTCTACATGATGACATCAGCATCGGTCTCCCTTCCTCTGGTACCCCTCCCCTTCATCTACAAAGCCTCTACTAATACTTGCTTTTCATATTATGGAAACCCTTTGCAATTCTCTCACTTGGATCCTTATATTGGTCATGCAAAAATGCTTGCAGATGCAAGCACATGCCTCGAATGCATACAATGGCCATACGCATCCATGCATGCACTTCCATATTTGCCTCCTTTCATCATATAAACATCTGTTATTTACATATCATGGGAATCATGGTGAGTTGAATTTGTTTGCAGGAGCCACCATGCATAGGGATGACATGGTGGCAACACAGGAAGATGGACACTATTCCAAGACCGTTGCTGCTGTCCTACAACGCAACAACACCAACAACAATGCAGCTCCTCCATTTCTTGTAACCTACTCTTGTCAGTTTCCAAAGTCAGAGGACACAGTATTTTCCAAGTGGAAGTGGAACAACCAAGCAGCCACCACCACTAGCCAAGGAGGAGGCGGCCAACAGTGGCTACTCAAATACATACTCTTCAGTGTTCCTTTCCTTCACAGTAAGTACAGGGATGAGAACTCCCCTAAAGCAAGGGGGGATGGAGAGAGTGGCAGCAGGCTGCGGAGGGGTGTCACCACTCCCCAAGATGAGCTTAGTGCCAATCATGTCCTAGCAGAACGGAGGAGGAGAGAGAAACTCAATGAGAGATTCATAATTCTCCGCTCCCTCGTTCCCTTTGTTACTAAGGTACTATGCTTGCTCTCTCTCTCTCTCTCTCTCTCGCATATGTTTATCATTTGAAGTTCAATCCCTATCAATATCTCAGGCACACTTTACTTGTAACTGCTCTGCAAGACTCTAGAGATGGACTGCATCTGTTATAATGCGTAAGAGTTCACCATTGCACACATCCTTTCATTGAACTTAGGTATAAGCTCAGAACTTGATAAAAAGGAAACCAAATTACAGAAAGCAGTATCGTTTACACGCATTCCTTCCCTTGAGCATCCTCCTTCGTGGATTGCCAAGGCCTTTTGTACTTCTCTTTCTTATCAATTTAAGGTTAACATTATCAAAAAAAAAAAAAAGTTTACACACATTCCAAGAGCTACCGGAGAGTTACTTATAAACATGCTGTAAAAGAAACTACATTTCACACATCATTGTTTCTGCCAGAGTGAGCAACAAGTTTAATGATTTCTTCCCCTCATGTATAATTATCTAGAATATGTGTGCCACATATACAGGTTATATTCATTCAGGAAGAGAGGCATTGAGCTGCAGTCTCTTCTTCCATCAGCTTCTATCTTGGGTTGATCATAATGAAGATCTCTTCTTCCTTGCATTTTATACTGACAACTCGTCATGTGATTGTTTTGTATTAGATGGATAAAGCTTCTATCTTGGGTGACACGATAGAGTATGTGAAGCAACTGAGGAAGCGCATACAAGATCTTGAGTCCCGTAACAGGCAGATGGAAATCAATTTAAAAACAAGGGCTTCAGTCAGCTCAGAAACACAAAAATTGTCAAGTACAAAAGATAGAACTAACTCAAACACCAGTGCAGTATTGACCACAGCTCAAACACTCAATGACCGCAGCAGAACTATGGCCTTAGACAAGAGGAAACGTCACATCTTGGAAGGTGCAAGGACCAAGATGGCAGCAGGAGGGTGCATCACTGATGTACAGGTCTCCATAATTGAAAGTGATGCACTTCTCGAGTTGCAGTGCCCATACCGAAATCGATTATTGCTTGAGATCATGCAGACATTGAATGAGCTCCACTTCGAAACTCAGTCTGTCCAATCATCTTCAGACAATGGTGTTTTGATAGCTGAATTCCGAGCAAAGGTATGGAAACCAGTTCAGAGTGACTTTGTGCTACCACATACACTGCTATCATATGAGAACCAAAAATTCTTACTATTTTTCATTTCTCTCTCACTAAGGTCAAAGAAAATCCTAATGGGGAGAAGGTAACACTTGTGGAAGCCAAACAAGCCATTCATCATATCCTTGAAAATTGCTGACAAAAGCAAAGCTGCGCAAGCTCTGCTAGAAAAGAAACGACAAAGCAGGCATCCATGGTGAAAGTTTTTCAATAGGAAAAATAAACCATGCATCAAGAAAGAATATTGAATCCCAGTGAAAGCCCTTAAGTTTTGAGAGAGCAGTTTTTTGTTGGTGTTGAGCCATGTAAAGGAATGCAGTTTTCGTGTGCTCAAAACATTCAAACATACATAATGGCTCTGCAGCAAATGTCATTCAAACTTCCGCTATGGCACCCCAGGTGTTGAGTGTAGATTGTTATCCCAGACTGTTCAAAATGAAGATATGAGTGTGATAAGTGATGTCCGTTGATTTTCCAAGGATCAATTGAGAGGGGCCACCACAGTGCACTACTGATTGATGGCGAGTGTGACATATAAGAAAAATTCCAATCAAGAATGTGCATTATAAAATTTTGTATTATAGAAGTTTCTTGCACAACTTTGTAGTCAATATAATAAATTTTAACAAGCAAAATGTGGGTCATCCATCAATGCTGGCCCAGTTTCCTTTCTCTTTCTTGTTTTATTTCTAGTGGGTTAAGATGTGGGATCGTGCGGTGTTTCAACACCAAAAGGCAACAGTGCTTGAACCGGAGTCCTGACATTGAACAGTTGAGCTGCATTCCATAATGCAGAAGCACACAGGTAGCAGGGTTGCCATACTAAAGTGGCTTCATGTTAGTTGCACTTGAATATAAGTTTGGACGCTTAACAGCACGTGTTTCCAATAAATCTACATAATCCTGTGTCTCAGATAAATCTACACCATCCACTGTTTAATCAGCTTTATATTCTATCAATGTCATTCAAGCATTCAAGACATCTCAAACCACAACGTAAAAAAATCTTTTCCTTATAAAAGGGATTAATTTTAGGGAAAATATCTTCATATCCCCTGTTTTTAAGTTTTATTTCTTAATACACCCAAGGTTTGAAAATATATATTGGAGCTTTAAGATCTCAAGTATTGTATCTTTCAACTCCCTGAATTAATTTTCTCTATTTTTTTAGACCAAACAAATCTTAGAATGACATGTCCTTTCTAAACCCACCCTTTCTCTCTTCACGTGCCCCAAATGTATCTCTCTCCCCCATGATTCTCCCCAAATCCCTCCCCCATGATTCTCCCCAAATCCCCCAACGCTCTCTCTCTCCCTGTTTTGCGTACCCACTCTCTCTCCACCGTATTTTCCCAAACTAAAGAAACCACATCTTCCTTTCTCTACAACCTAGTCATCACAGTAATCCAAATAAAAAAACACTACCTTCTCTCTGATCTTCAATAGCTTCGCTTCCAAATCGCAGGAAACCAAAAGTCTCTCTGATCTTCAATAGATTCGCGTCCCCATTGCAGGAAACACAATGTTTGAATTTTCAGTATCGCATAAAACCAAAAGTCCAACTTTCTCAACAACCCTCATTGCTGCAAACCAAAAGTGTCCACTTGATCGCTGAAAACCAAAAGTGTCCACTTGATCACAGGTCCTGATCACTCCAAACCAAAAAATCCTCTTCTCTCTCTCAAGAACTTCTCCCTCAAGAATTGTAGTGAACTGTAGCAATGGCTTCCAATGGTGGACATGGAGCTTCAACCAGTCAACATCAAAGCCTCCTCCTTCTCCATCTCCTCTAGCGAATTTTAGTGATGGGTGGAGCTGAGATCATTGGCTCCCACTTAGAGGCTCGTCGTTCCAAAAAAGTAGCACCCTCCCATTGTAGGGGGAATTCTCATTCAAGTTGGTTTTTTATTATAGTCTTGATTAATAAATGGCAAGAGTTGAATCTGGTTTGAAAAAAGACAAAAAAAAAGAAGATACATAGGTTCAGGGCTAATGATATCAATTTCTCTGGTGTTCTTAGTGCTTGTTCAACTATAGATGCCCTTTCTCAGGGTTCAAAGATCCATACTCTCTCTCTAAACACCATTTATGGATCTGATATATGCGTTTCCAATGCACTCTTGGGCATGTATGCAAAATGAAAGAGTTTAGAAGAGGCCTGCAAGGTCTTTGGCGAAATGGTTGACAGGGATTCTATCTCATGGAATGCTATAATCACAGCTTACAAACAAAATGGAGATGATATGGAGACACTCTCACACTACAACCTGATGGTTTCTCATGCCATGATGCCCGATAAATGGAAGTGTTTTTAAGGCCCGCTCTGGGCTTCACAGACAGGTTTGGGGAACCACAGGGGAGAGAGAGAGAGTTGGGGGAAATATGAAGAGAGAGAGAGAGAGTTGGGGGAAATATGAAGAGAGAGAGAGAGAGAGGGGTTTGGGGAAAATCATGCGGGAGAAAGAATTAAGAGAGAGAAAGAAGTGTGGGGAATATCACAGTTAAGAAAGTGAAGGGATACATGTCTTTCTAAGATTTGCTTACGTTAAAAAAATAGGATAAAGGTGAGTAAAGTTGGTGTAGTGGGTTAGAAGATATACTATTTGGAATCTCTATGATTTAAGATATGTTTTGAAATATTGGGTTTAATGAGAAATGAAACTTAAAAACAGGGGGTATGGAGATATTTTCCTTTAAGATTATACTTTCTTCTTTCTTTTTTTGTCTTCTTTTTTTTGAAACGTAAACTTTTCTAGTTTCTTCTTTCATTTTTCAAAAGAAAAGAAAACAATTCATTGATAAGCATCCATAATCGGGTGACCATTAATCAAGGATTACGAAGCCAGTAATAAGTCCTAATAATTTAGCTGAGAAACAAAGGCAAACCAAGTAGCTAACACCTTAGTCTTTATATTTGCATTCTTATGTATGTAGCGTAAATAACAAATATAGATATGGGAAGATTCCAATAATCTTTCAGGATGTCAACAAGCCTTCAATGGAGTGGTGAAGCCTTGGCAGCCCATTAGGAAATTCAAGGACTCTTTCCCCATAGCATTCTTTCAAAATACACTACACAAGGAACCTCACCAAATCTCTAACTTTATAGAATGAGGGCCTCAGCTTCTGTGAAATACATGTCCCCAATCAATCTCACCTATGCTTGCCTGCAAAGCCTAATAGGACCTATGTGAACCTTTGAAATTGTATCTACTTTAGCTTGAACAGCCCAAACAGCCAAAGTCTAGGCTACTTCTTGCACTGAATTTTCATCATTTTACTACATATGACCTCTGCTCTCATTGGAGGTCATCCACTGCAACCCCTTTAAGCTACATTCCTATACTGCTTCCCATTATTTATCTACTTTCCATCCCCCTGAACATCGAAAATGGGCACAAACGACATTCCTGTTTCTTATAACTATAAGAAGTACCAGGGCTACAGATGAATTAGCAGGACTGCAGGCATCCGAAAGCTCACTCAGTCATCTCAGAAAGAACCCCAAGAAGTAATCTCAGACCTCAACAAATCCCTTTTGACAAATAGTGCTTAATTACTACCTTAACAACATGCGTGATAAAATTTTGGGACATAACCTCCTATATTGCAAGTAGTTACTGATACGTTCTCCAAAAACTAACTAATACTTTTCATTATAGATCTCTAACACTAATCACTGAAAACCAACACTCTCAGGGATACACCCCCGCAAAACAAGGGAAAACCACTCCCCAAAGACGGGCACATACTACAAAGTTCTTATTGAGTAAATACCAAGTTATCATCATCGTCGTCGTCAAAGCCTTTTCTCAACTAATTGGAGTCGGCTACATGAATCCTAGTCCGTCATTCTGCTCTATAAGGGACATACCCCTAGTGAGATCATAAGTCCCAATATCTTTTCTCAGTATTTCTAACCATGTGCTTTACAGTCTACTCCTTGTCCTTTTTTAGCCTTCCACTTGAATTCCTCTACATGAAGACATAAAACTCCTAGTAATCCATGAAAAACATATTATTCTAACAACAGAATCTGCAGAAATGCAGTTAGATTCCAATCAATTAAAAAAAATTTCAATATGGTTTTGTCATCGTTCATATTAAATCAGGTACTAGATAATATCTCAAGAAGGCTCTTTTTCCCACTGAAATAAAAAGTTTTTCTCTTTGGTTATTTCAACAAAGTTCAATTGATTTAAGGTTTTGATTTTTCTATTTTACTCAGTATGCCGAATCTTAGTTTTTTGAGCCCAAAATAAATCGCTGTAATAGCCTTTTTACCCAGAGGATTCTACATTAAAATTGGTCCAAAATTCCCACTTCAATTATAGGAACATAAACAACAGCATTCTTGATTTCTAAGGATGACCCTTAATTTGGATGCAAACAATTCCACCCAATAGATCTCAATCCCTCTAAAATATTTTTGGGTTTGAATTCCACTGAAATGGAAAGGAGGAAAAAGTAGCAAGGTTTCTAGACGTTATCAGGCATACCAAGAATATGAAGATAACTAATTCTGCTTAATCATAATAAATCATGATTCAGAACTAGAAAGGAAATCTAATACGAAACAAAGATAAATCACAATCCAAGATTTCCAGGATCACCTGAGATAATCATAAAAATATACAAACAGCAACATTCAGCAACAAGAAATTTAGTTACAACACTACAGAAAATAAGCCAGCATAATGCAAGACCATGAACAATATTCGGCCACCCGGACACCTAGGCTGTGGGTTTGGCCGGGCATGCCTAAGGCGGGTGCCTAGGCAGTCTAGGTGCCCACATAGTGCCATCCCTTAAATAAAAATAACCATAATAGAAAAAAAATTCAAATCCACCCAGAAAAAAAATAAGGCCTGATATTGCCTTTCTCTCTCTATCTCTCTCTCGGGTCCATCTGCTCTAAACATATGAGAAGAAGATGAAGATGGACTCCAAGTGTTCGATGCACGGCCTCTCTCTCACACACACACACAAAGATACACATGGACCCATATGCTCCCTCTTTACATGCAAGAAGAAGAAAAAGAAGAAGACGACCTCCAAGTGTTCGATGCAAGGTCCCTTTCTCTCAGAGACACTCTCTCTCTCTC